TGGCTTTGTAGGTCTGGCAGGTCTGGCTTTCACATGCTGGTGAATACAGATGTGTCCGCTGAAGTTACCATGGGAACACTGTCCAAGTTACAGTAAATAACCAGTGGCCTGCAATTGCATGTGGCCAAATCATAAATGGATGTTATCAAGCATCTGTGTGCGATTTCTCATCTAAAATATCAGCTTTCATGTCTCCAACTGCAAATATGCATGTGCAGTTAAGGTCTGTTTCGATATTCAACATATTTTGAGACCTCTCATAAGAATATGTATACAATGTACAGACATTCATAATAATAAACTTTCCACGAATTTCAGAACCCATAAAATCCTATTTCTTGTGCCAAAATATAAAAAGATAGATGGCCAAGAAGGTGTTATGAATATGATATACAAGTTATAAAGCTGTCCACTGGGGGCAACAGAGGCTCGGTTGGTAGAGCATTGGCCATTGAGCCTGAAGGTCGTGGGTTCAAACCCACCCTGAGGCCTACTTCACGACTCCCACTGATGTCTGAAATGAATTAAGGGGAAGAAAATGGAAGAATGGTGGAAGTTTTAAAGACTTGGCCCAATCTGCAGCATTTTTAGACACTATAGAAAAGGTCATGGTGCAATTCGACCAAAGAAATATACCTCTTAATTCTGATTTTTTTTTATTTATCATTCTTATTCATAAAACATAGTGATGAGGCAGTGGAGCAGGTTTAGGAAGGCATTCCCTCTCTACACACAACTGTACACACAGTTTTGCATCTCAAGATACTGAACAGTAGGAATGTTGAGCACATGACACAAGATAAGTGAATATTAAGTATTGCACAACCCTACACTAAAAATAAAAGATAATATCCCTCTTTAGCTTGATAATCAAGCAGTAAAAAATAGTGTATAGACTAGTGCAGGAAATATAAACATGTATCAACATGTATCAAAGATATATCTGTACTTATTGTATCGCAGATGTACAAAAATAGTAGTGCAAAAATATTAGGGTAGTAGTTAGTCATTAGCTCTGTGGGTTTAAATGTTCACAGGGTATAAGTTAGCTGCATGTGATAAAAGTTGGCAGCATGTGATACTACTGTACCAGCATGAGGTTCTGGCTAAAAGTGACTGAGTAAAGTGACAGTGGACACATGTGGTCTGATAATGCACTAATATTATTTCAAATGAAAGTAGGAGTTGCACTGCTTTTTCTCATAAACTGCAGTGTACTACAACATCTGTTTACCAATGGACCCATGGGAGCTCCTGTGAGCCAACACTTACAGTTTGAAACAAGCAAGAAAAAAGGAGGCTCTTCCTTAGGCTAAAGAAAATGGATATTGATCTAAAGCCATGACTAAATAGATTAAATTACAAAGTACTGTTCCAAAAGAGTCCACACACGTCTTTACTTTATGGATCTTTTCAGCGTTTGTTTCTTTTAACGAGCAACCCAGCACACTACACACGATCACGGCCCCAATTCATGTGAAGAGACAATTGACGACAGCAAATGGTCATTGAGGGATTATAGTGTTCCTCATTCAGACCAGGATGAGAGCTTAGAAAATGCACCACCGATGTGATCAGTTATAGCTGTAAAACAATTTAAGGAAATAAACTTTGTGTGTATATCCACACTTATTCAAAGCAATTCAAAGTAATAACTAATATCTCATTCTCCACTGGCATTGTACCAGCCAGTGTACAGCCTCACTTCCAGAAAACCTGACCTTCGCTTTTTAAATTTGAACAACTATAGGCCTATCTCCAAGCTGCCAAAACCAAAATACTTGAAAAGCCAGTAGCTAAAAACCTTTGGAAATTTGGCATCTTGACACAATTTTCTGTAAGAGTTTAGACTGTATCAGTGTACAAAGACCACTTTAAGAAGAGTTATAAATGGTCTTCTTGTAGCTGTAGGTGTTCTTTCCTTCCCCTGCTTGATTTAAGTGCAGCCGTTGACACTGATTCAGAGGCTGAAGCACTGGGTTGGAATGAAAAATTACAGTGCTCCAGTGTTTGACCGACAGAAAGTTCTATGTTTCGATTGATAAGCGCTTTTCGAGTCCCCCAAGATTCTGTACTTGGTCCCATTTTAATTTACCACGTTATTACTGAATTTATCAGACCCAATAGACTTGAGACGTCTTATTAATTAATTACTCAAAGACTGGACTTCTGGAATGGGATTTTAACAGATATTCATCAAACATCAAACAACCGCCTCCAGCTTGTTAATGTGACTGAGTGTTTTAACACGGAATAAAAAAGAGGGAAAACTTGATACTTTTAAAGCCCAACACAGATTTTCCCCTAAGTATTTAGCAAAAGTTCTGTCTCCGTAGGAGCTGGCCCCTCAGCTGTCGAACGCCCCCTTCCGGTTGAGCTCAGGCAGGACAATTCAGTAGCATCATTACATACTCTCTAAAGAAAAAACCTTTATAAGAACTTTGATTTATAAGATTTTTTTTCATGGCATGTTCTTTCTTTTTATTAGTCAATTTCTGGGTAATCTGAGCTGCCACCAAAGTTTCAAAGTACCAGTCCCTCGCTGATCCTCCTGCAGGTGGTGGGTCCACCCGATGATGGCTTCTCCAAAGCCTTGATCTTTCAGTGGGGGCTTCAGGCAAAGCGGGGTTAAGTGTCTTGCCCAGGGACACAACGACAGCAGACATCGGTGGGAACAAATGACATAGGTCGTGGGGAGTCAAACCATTAGGTCCAAAAATCAATGCTCAACCAACTGAGCCATTGTCTGAATAACTATTAATCTTGTTTTACACATTATCCAAAACTTGGTCTGATCTTAATCGGTTTTATGGAGTTGTGTGGAGCAATCTGTCTTGAACGGTGCTATAAAGACAACAATTATTATCAGTAATACCAAACGTTATTATATGGAAGATGTGATTAATTGGGTAACTGCATGATTATCTCACATGTTTGTTCAATTGGGACTCAAGATTACAAGACTGTTTGTTTTCAAAACTGGACATACTGTAAATTCAGTTCTTGTTCACATTTTGCATTTAATGGCAGTCTTTTGCAAAATTGGACATTCAGTTGGTTTTAGAAATGTACATAACTTTTATCATTATAGTGCTTTGTGTGTATTGTTTTGAAATATGCTCGTTGGTTTTCTCTGAATTATAAAAAAGACAACCACACCACTTCACAAACGGTATGGAAAATGAGTAGAAAAAAGGTTCCACTAAAAGTGAGATGGTTCCAAAGGAGTTAAAATATATCATAAATACCCCCTGAGGAGATATTTTGAGTGTAAGCTGTCAGTTGGAGCTTTCTCATCAGCCCACATGAGAATAACTGGGCATTTACTAGCCAGTTAAAATGGCAACCCACATTACTTAATCTCTCTAATACCTTGTGTAGGAGAAATGATCAGGCACGGCAAATATTTGTCAGGGAAATATGTACTGTGCTTTTGAGGATACACTGGAGAATTTTGTCCTGGTTTTTAAAGAGTGTGTTTTATAAGATAAGAGAACCTTTATGTGTCCTACAGTGGGGTCATTTCAATAATAGAAGTGGACTAAATGAGTGTGACATCCTCCTTAGAAGCACCAAGATCTGGGGAATAACCAAATTATGAAGCTGCAAATCTCTGCATTATGATTGGAATGGAGCAATGGTCAACAGATCAATGGTCAAAGGATCCCAAAACAAGTTCAAGCGTTGGATTCTAGAGGCGATAGGTCAGAAAGCAGGGAAACGTCAGCAACTGTTACAACGAAGCCTTACCCATGCAAAACATATAAGTCAGAGGTCAGAGGAGGCAAGGTCAGTCTGAGGCACTAGTCAGGTCAAGTTATGGAAATGACTTGTAGTTAGAAGCTGAAATATGTTGGCAAAAACATCTCAACAAGTATGGTCTGTCATTTTGACCCTTTTTTTTGCCACTCAAGCAAATTGTCATACATCAGTTCAATTTAATATCTGGTTTTCCATCATCTGGTTAATATCTCGATTTAGGGTAGCTAATTTACAGTGCAAGAACAATGCAGAAATGCAGCTAAATAGAAATGTAACTTTTTTTTCCGTCTTTATATACTTTGAGCTACTTGAGACAAAAAATATAGCTGTAATATATATTTAAACGACTTGATTTATTTTCAAAAGTAATGTATTACACTTTAGTTACTGTTAAATTGCATATGAAGGGGTTGGGGTTTTACTTATTTACAGTCAATGGGTTTTACTGCATACATGACTCTTCAGCTCCCTCTATTGAGCTCTTCCTTCGCTGCATGGTCAACCCATACCAAAGTGCTAACATAATAAAACCAAGTAATAAGCAACAAAGTTACACTGCACATTGCAAGATTCATACAATAAAAAGATAAATATGAATGCACAAAATAGTAAATTTAGAAAATCTTTTTTGGTCAACTAGAACTGCGTGTATGTGTGTGTGTGAACAATTATAGGGCGACACAGTGGCTGAGTGGTTAGCAATTTTTCTAAAGAACTCAACGAAATGTGCACGTTGAACCAGGGCCTTTATGAGTGGAGTTTGCAACCGGTACTCCGGTTTCCGCTATCGCTAAAAACATGTGCAATAGGTCTGGCATGCGCCTCCTGTACTGGCCCCGCTCCCATCTCTGTGTGAGAATGAGAGACAAATGCCCAAAAATAACAATTGTGAACCGCTTTGTGACTCTGGTCTGTGAAAAGCGGTATATGAATAAAGATTACTTATTTACTTAGAATGTCACTATTATTAGTTTCAAAATTCTGTTTTCATGTCTGTGCCATTAGACAAAAACATTGATTTGCAAAAATAAGTTTTTGAATTTGTGGTTTTATTCCACAGTACAACAAAATACAGCACATACTTATGACAAGATAAAAAAAAAAAAAAAACATGAGATAAAAGATTTGACAAATGAAGCCTACATTCTTCAGGTGTCACTTTCGTTGAAAAAAAAAACTTTTGCATGGGGCAAAACAAATGTCTAAAAAACCCCCAAAAAAACAGACTGTCTGCAGTCTTATCTGTCGGGGCGCATCATGCCAGGCCTCACTGGCATCATCATGGGCCGGGGATGACGCATCATGTGTGGAGGCCCTGGCATCATCTGCATGGGCCCTCCCATCGGCGGCCTCATACCTGCACAGGAACACACAATACACAAGTGGGATAACAGGACAAAGTGCTATGCAGTTATTGTCTGATGTTAAACTGGTATGTGGCATTAAAAAGGTTGGCAATCGCGAAATAGTACTACTTCTGAGCCGGAAAGATAGTGGGGTGCACTGTTCAAATCATTTTGTCCAATAAAGGAAGCTGTGGGTGGGGGCATAACTGGTGCTTGCATTTGAATATTTTCTCCACGCTTTAGTTTAAGTTTCATTTTTAATTAAATCACTTTAACAAGCATTTTTTTCTCCGTACCACCATTTTCATTATATAGTTCAATTTTTGTTTTCTGTAAAAGTTATACTTTAATTACACATGAAGCAGAACAGACAATTATAGCTGAAAGTAAATCTGCAGATTATCATTGATATTGGAGGCTCAGGTTTATACAGTTCATACGGAGGTTCAGTACAGCTCTTTACTCATCAGCATCACATCAGCGTGGGTTTTTGACATGTTTTAAAAAGTGACAGTCAAGACCAATAATATTCCTAATTTAAAACAGCATAGTGGTTTAAGTCTTATTTACGGGACTTGAAGTTTTTCATGAGCAGCTTCTATTATCGGCGCTGGTTAAGACGATCTAGAGCCATTAAAAAAGGTACTGACAGACCCCTTTACAGACAAGTGATGCCTTCGGAGAACATCTTCAGAAATTTGATAAATATTTATAACACATTTTCATTTCAATCGGCAGTCATAATAGAATTATTAGAGTCATAAAACTTAATCTTAGCATGTTCAAGTCTATAAAGGGTTAAAATTACTAGATTAGTTTAAAACCATTTCAACAATGGGATAATTGCAATTCATCATTTGCTTTTTACAATTGTAAACTTTACTTAAATTTGAGTAGCAAATGGCAGTCTGTCCAAGGTAGATTATCATTAATGCATTCCTTACCAGGTCCACCAGGCATCATGCCATGTGGAGGGGGTCCCATCATAGGCATCATAGGAGGACCTCCCATTGGCGGAGTTGGCAACATGCCAGGTCGAGGAGGACCACCTAGGCAACAAAATAGATTTAAACAGATCTCTTATCCACAATATTAAATCAGCTTATTGTTTATTAATTACCCGGTGGAGGTCCTCCAGGAAAAGGTGATGGTGGAATCTTCCCTTGTTGAAACGCGGCCGCTAGAAATATAACATTCTGATGAGCATTGGGCAGCCTTTTATAATAATGTCTTAGAATTGCAGACATTATTACTGTTAATAATAAATAAATTACTGTTAAACCAGGGCATCTGACATAGCATATCTTCTGTCACATATACATGAACAGCAGAAAACATGGCTTGAGTTTAATGGCAAAATCAGATGCAGTTCTTTTGACCAGGGGTGTAGCTTGAAAACAGTAATGTTTGACGCAGCCGCGTCAAAACATTACAAAAAGAACTACAAAAAGAAATTCAGCAGTGGGTCAACCACAAGCCTTGTGGTTGGCCGACAGTAGTAGTTCATTAAAAATCAAAAGTACATAATGACCTGCAGAGTAGGACTATGCAGAGCGAGAACAGGGGAAATTGATATACTTTATTTTTTGTGTGTTTATTTGATAATGTTCCTAGAATCATCCGAACACCCTGCTCTGGCTGCTCAGTCTAAAGAGGGGCCCCGCTTAAAACGAGTCAGCAAAAAAGAGTAGCCGAAATATTCCAGACATCTTGCTGCTGAATGGCGTTCAAATTTGTATCACTTTCTCAGGAAGCTTAATATTTTCCAAATCCTCATTAGAAATTTAAGTTATGTCACAACATGATATACACCAACCACTTTAAACCTTAACCAGAAATTTATGACAAGTGTGTAAAAACTTACTCGTTTTATCAATGAGACTCTGTGCTTGCTCCTCCATCCACTTCTGATAATAATCTTTCACATTCTCCTTGTGTTTTCGACCACTACAGTGCGTTTTCCTTACCGATGGCTGGGAATGAAATAACAGAACTTATTTGATGCACAGAAATTGTTTAAGTCAAATCAGTAACAATAACAACACCAAGAGTGACTTAAAAGAAACTCACCGAGTCATGTGTTAAATAAGTGTCACAGTAGTCACAGTAAAACCTGAAATGTAAAGTTTGTAGGTGAGAAGTAGAAACGGGTGCAAGTTATGAAAGTTTAGATAAATCCCCATTAAAAATGTGCATACTTTATGCATATTTTACGCACACATCCTCTCAATAGTATATATTTGTTTAATGCTAAGACTTCGTAACAAGCCCGAATACATTTTAAGAGTCCAGATAATGTGAAACAACAATTGTTTGGGGCAGAACTAAGCAGTCTCGTAGATATAGGCTAGGCCTACGTACTCGAATCTCAGCAGATATGTTAGGCTGTAGTGATCGAATCTGTAATAGGATTCATGCTTCTATGGCATGGCCATACAAAGCGTGCAATGATACCAACAAACAGGGCTTGAATAGTCTGGAAAATGCATAATCGCGTACAAGAAGGTTACAGCTGTGTAAATAATTACGATTAGATTCGATATTTAATAAGTATGAGTACAACAACTTGGTTATTTACTTACTTCGGCATGTTCGAATTTCACAGCTCTGGCCGTGTGAATGAGCGCATCCGGTGTCGCTAAAATCAACGTCCCCTTCGAATTGTCGGCTGAAAATATAGTTCCGCCACCAGATGTTCGTTCCGCTCATGGATCTAGGTTCCGCTTCCAAAACTTCCAGAAGACAATCAAAAAGTTGTAATTGTTTTGTTGTATTTTTCAAGAGTAAATAAAGTCACTGAAGAGATAAAAATATCATAGTTTTCAAGTAGATTTTGAACAATAAAAACTGTCAAATATAAAACATAAAAGCTATGCGTGGAATACAGTACATGGTTTATTCACAAGGGTCCAAAATGACCACAGCCTGATTTCAAGTTTCAAGATTTCATAGTCATGTTTTATTTTCACTTTTATTTTGCAAACGATTGCGCAAATAGCAACAGCATACGTCGTCCCCCTCTGTGATTGGTAGAGGCGCCCAGACGTGTGGTTACAACGTCAAACAGCGTCCCCTTTTGTGGCATGCGCACTAGTCCTTGTTGTTGTGGAGGTGGTGAATGTTGTTATGGCTGTGATGGCTGAAACAGGCCCCGGAGTGAACTGAAAGCTCCCCGGTCAGACAGTCTCCTTTGCAGGGTAACAGCCCTCATGGACAGAACGGACATGGATGTGGATGCAGAGCTGATGCAGAGGTTCAGCTGCATGGGCACCACAGACAAGGACGTCCTGATCACGGAGTTCCAGAGGCTGCTGGGATTCCAGCTCAACCCCGCAGGATGTGCTTTCTTCCTGGACATGACCAACTGGTGAGTGTGAACAGGCCAGCGGTGGCCATGGGTCTGCAGTGAATGCGGTACTAAACTTTTCTGTGTCCCATTTGAGCGAAGTGAATCGGTCATAATGAGGCTGCAGTTAATGTTAAACCTCAGCAAACAGTCCATGATGTTTCTACCAAGTGGTAGAAAAGGAAGACATGGAAGGTTTTTTACAAGACTTTTATTTAGACTCCGCCCCCATATAGATGTTTCAATTTGTTTTATATGTTTTGTTTGATTATTGCATTTCCAGTTTTTGTCTTGATTAATTCTCTGGTACGTTGTTGGCAAATAAAACATTTTTTTCTTTGAATTAAGGTTGAATCAAGGCTGAAGTTGTAGAGTGTTATATGTCAAAAATACATGAGCATTATGAAATGACAGTGGTCACAATAGGCTACTCAAAAAGATATGTTTTATATCAATGGATCTATATAATATATCTAATACATGTCTCTGATGGTATAGACATTTTTTTCTAAATCTATATATTTGCTTCACAGGAATCTCCAGGCTGCCATTGGTGCATATTATGATTTTGAAAGTCCCAACGTAATTACTCCATCCATGTCCTTCGTTGAAGATGTAACAATTGGAGAGGGAGAGTCGGTTCCCCCTGATACATCCTTCACAAAGACATGGAGGATACAAAATCCAGGCAAGACATGGTTTATTCAAATGAGATGAATCATTACTTTGCAATGGCTAAAGGTTTGTTTTATCTTGTGATTTTTGCTGTATGTAGGTGCTGAATCTTGGCCGCCTGGAGTCAGTCTCAAGTATGTTGGTGGGGATCAATTTGGGCATGTTAACACAGTTATGGTCAAGTCGTTAGATCCCCAAGAAGTTACAGATGTAAGTGTCCAAATGAGGAGTCCCACTGCAGCTGGGATGTACCAAGGCCAATGGCGAATGTGCACCACAACAGGATTATTTTATGGCGGTAAGTCACAAAATAATTGATAATTATTGCACATTTTGAACTTATGCAGATTGAAAATAGGCATACATAATTATTGTGACCTTACACTACAGAAGGATCACATAATATATCCACATGTTTCAGCTTCCTGTTAATCTCTATGGAAACCGTCATCATCTTCTGAAACTGAAAGACACAAATAATGCTATCTCCAGATCTCTGAACATAATTCTCCAAACATAATCCCCTGTTTTGCTAGCCTGACCAGCCAGATCTATACATTATTTGCTAATAATTTATTTTAATGAATAAAAGAAAGTATACAAACATAGCCAGAGGTAAAGGACAGACAAGCACACAGTAAATAAAAACATGTTTGCTAATTCCATCAGGCTCATCTCAAATCCATGTCCCTACCTGCTCCTAGTGTAACATTTGTTATAAATAAGTAGACAACCATTACCAACTCAATAACCAAAGCAAGTGCGGCTCTTCTCAACACACATGGCAGCACAAAGGCTCATATTGTCACCATGTTTTAATGCACACTTTAACCCATATTAACCTCAGGATAAAATTGGACTAAAACAAAAAAGACCCTAATTTAGCGTTTTTTTTTCTACTTTCAATCACTGTGGTGGGTCATCTTGACCCAAGGGTAGACTCAAGACATGGTGTATGAATTTTTGACCAGCTGAAGACTCTGTGTACAACAGGGGTCTCCAACCTGTATCTCAGCAGCTACTTTCAGGTAGCTCCACAAAGGATTCAAGAATATAACAAGTGATCCTGAATGATTCACTTTTGGGTCATATCTATTCCAACAATAAATGTTTTAATGAAGGCAGGAAGACTGTGCAGTAAAATGGTATATTATGAATAAGTAAGTAATCTTTATTTATATAGCTCATTTCACAGACCAAGGTGCTTTACAATGTTTTTGGAGTACATATAAAAGTAGCTCTCCAGTCATAAAAGGTTGTAGACCCCCGGTGTACAATATTCAAGTTTGCAAAGAGCTCAACTGTCTATAATTGTACTTAACCTGTTTGCATAGATATCATTTGGATAATACTCACTGTAGAAGTCGGCGGTCTCCTTGGTGTGACTCAGCAGCTATCATCCTTCGAGACAGAATTCAACACTCAACCACAGCGCCAGGTTCAGGGAGACTTCAATCCCTTCGCGTCACCACAGAAGAATAAGCACGACGTCCCAGGAGCAGCCTGGGAGCACACACAAGATCCAGACCATCAAAACAGACTCTCTCATAATGAAGTAAATAGGACACCAAATGGTCTTCAAACTAATCTTTCTGTTGTCACGTTTGGACAGGTTTGTCACACACATTTTCATGCTTTAAATGACTGCAAATTGTACAAATACAACTTGTCTTGACTAGAAAAGGTACACAGTGCATCTTTAAAGCTGGAGTACCATTAGAATAACTACAATTCTTACTGGACTAGGTGCATCTGAATGTAAGCCGCATGTATTCAGGCTGTAATGTAGCAGGTAGACAACTGTTTTACTTTAACTGGTCACAACATGATTTAATGACTAGGTGTTTTACAGCTTCACTATTGGCTAACACGACACATTCACCTTCATTAATTTTGACTATTAACCAGTGTCCTATAACTACTTGATGGAGTCAAGACAATAAGTCCATAAATTCCTTTCTGACAACAGCCCAACTCTATCACAATAAACATGCACTTTTTTTCCGCAGGGTTCAAAGTACTAGAAAATAGTAGTCTGAAAATTGCATTAATAATAATTTTGGTTCTGCCAGTAGTCTTCAACTTGTTCAAGTGCATGTCTCTTTGACCTCTGTCACCTCTTTAGATCAACTTCTTAAGTGAAATAGGGAGTACCAGCCCTCGCTCAGCCAATCAGCTCTCAGTATATAAAAGATCAAATGTTTTCCGAATGAGAATAAGACAGCAGGTTGTGGTCTGATTTGTTCACAAAATACTACTTGACTAGACACGCTAATTATTCACTAAATTGTACATGACTAGGCTCTTTGTGCTGGGACAAACAATGTGTATGTATGGAACAAATAATTCTCCAGCTTCAAGAGATGTCTTAGAGAAATTGTGATAACATGTCAAATATCTTATTGTATCTTTACAGGGAATCCACGGAACTTATCCATTTGGACAGAGCTAGAAAAGGACCTCTCCTTCACTACCGTCAAACGCTTTGCACCCTGGAAAGACCTGAAGATGGAGGAATAGAGGATTTATCTTTGCTCTTACCAACCTTCTCATTCCAGGTGTGCAATTATGTGAACGTCACTGTCAATTCAGAATACCACATGGCATCTGTATCTGTGAATGCTTCATTAAACGCCCTTTACAAACAGTCACAGTCACAGTCCAGTCGGCTCAGGTGAGGAGCGCCTGGTTATTCATACACCCCATATTTGTGTTTGTCTATCCAACAAATGTGCGCATCACAATTGTGCTTTGCTTTATCTGGAAAGTTGGTTGTTGGATCAAGAACGCGATAAGTGACTAAGCACGGAGGATATGTTTGCTGTGAGTTTTTAGCAGACACACTAATTTAGTCATCAAACTTCAAATCCCCGCTATCAACTTTTATATTTGTATGTTTTGTTCAGAGATAAGACGTAGAAATTGATGGTAAATTTTTGTCACTTTGAAAAGGGCCTTAAAGCTGGAACACCTCACTTTTGGTCATACATTTCTTTGTCGTAACAAGAGTCTTGTTTAAGAAACGATTTCAGACCAACAATTCAGACCAAAACAAGCTCTCTTCTATCTGATTAGAAAACATTTTATCTTTCATACTCCAAGAACTGAGTGAGGGCCAAAAATATGTTCAGAAGAAAACTAGTGAGAGAATCAGGCTTTGAGAGTGAGGAACTAGTCACTTATATTTACTAACTTATTTTGTGGTTGGCAAAGTTAGGTACTCTAACTTTAAGAGGGCTGCCTACCTTAAAATCCTAAATGGGTGTGTTCACAGTAAAGTGTCAATTAAAGTATCTGGACTTTAAAACGTTATAACTCAAAAACTGAAATTACTATCATAGATTAGAAAAAAAAGATTTCAAACACAGACATATCGAAGAAATGGTGTGGATAAAATCGAAAGAAAAGATTGACAAATAAATCATCCTCTGATTTAATAATTCTACTGTGACGCCAGTTACATAGAACATGAAATGTCCTCAGTCTGAAAAAGCGGCAGATGAACTCCCACAAGATTAACATTGCTAACACAACATAAAGTAAATGGATTTTACATAGAAGTCATAAAAAAAATACAAATTGTAATGACCCTAGAGAAATATGTAACAAACGTGATTGTTTCTGTGAGTTTTTTTCTAAAACATTTTATTTGAGAAAAAAAATGTGAACAAGCCCAAACATAAAATGTACAATTGATTTGCCCTCACATTCAAGGAAGGTTGAAACAGTTTAAAGGCCTTATTCTTTTATACACAGCCTTAAGGATGTGAACTAGTGTTTTCCAGTTTGCTTGAAGTATATACAAGTAAAGGCATCAGAGAAACACATTTTTACTTCATTATCTAGTTGGTGTTCTTCTCTGTGTTGTCTGCACTAAAGTGAAATCACAGAAATACAACAGTTTATTTCATCCCGCAAAAAAATATGGAAGTTTGGGTTCACTGTAATGTGATTTTCTGAATTAGCTGGAGAATGACGGATGCATTTTGAGAATGCTGTCTATCATTATCAACTTTTTGTTTAAACTTCTGTGTTTCTTGGGAATTGTGTGGCTTCATGACCCATGTACCTCTGAAAGTATCGCTGACAGCTTCCTCATAGATCACCAATAGTGTTTGTGCAGTATGAAACGAGCTGCCCAATAACAGCCAGCAGGTGGTGCTAAAATCAAACGCTCTTCAACTTTACTTATGACCGTTTATGTTTATTTTGAGGTTGGACAAGCACTGATGGTATGTTACTGCTATTTGCACTATGCAGGGGTGGCTCCTATTAAAATGTTTTGGGTTTTTGATTGTAATGCTTTGAAAGGCTGAGTCCTCTTTTTGTTGTTTTTTGTTTTGTTTACAGCTTTAAAAATGTACTTAGGATTAATCGCTCCAACGCGTTCGAATTGAAAACCCAAAGGTTGCTGTCTCCCTTCCATTGTTGGATTTATTGTGTTTTGAGTTTGAAAACAAAATGGCAACATGCTGATATTTTGTGATGTATAGGTTTAAAATTATGATGTTTACATACGACAAAACAATTATTTTAAATTGCTTTAAATTTGTTTTATATGCCCCTTTTGTTGTTGTTGTTTGGCAGCTCATTGTGTATTTTGTATTGAGAGATTAACTCCTTTATACTGTGCACTGTTCTGCAATACAATTTTATTTTTTTATGCAAGTGAGTTTGCTGGTTTGAGTGAAGCCGTGAGAGCCGCTAGAGGCAAGAATAATAATAATAATAATAATAATAATATGGAGTGAAGTGATGCTGGGTACATTATGGGTACATTATCTGGAGTAGTGTGATTGTGACATGAGAACAAATGCAAATGGTGGTTCATTCAGAGCCGAGAGTGTTGAAAGATATGTTTAAAGAAAGAAATTAAATGAAACCTTTTCCCTGTATTTATGTATAATTAATTATTTGTATGATTAAATTAATAATGAAAGAGTTGTGTGGTTTGACTTCCTTCATTTAACTATTTTTGATTACTTTTATGCAACCAAGATAGTCCCACAAAGTTTTTAGAGGAATCAGCCCTATTGCCATCTATATATTTATATTAGTAAACTACTACTGAGCTATCATATGAAGTGCAGCTGGTGAAGATAGCATAATCTATATTGCACTTATTTATTATGGAATTTTTCAAGGGGGTCCTCCTCATACTTTGCAAAAAAATTACAGACCCCTAACGGCCACAGAAACTGACAAGACAAATATGCACATTCAGTACATAAAAACAGAAAAAACAAGACATTGTTTGCTCGTCCCCACCATACCCATCTCAAACCTTCGTCCCTATCCGCTCCTTTAATGACTTTGGGTACAGTATTTGACTATTTTATTTCTTAATTTATTTTTGATATCCACTTATAGCAATTACATGGCTGAATAAGGGTTCGAATCCCAGTCAGAGCATGGCCTTTCTGAGTGGAGTTTGCATGTTCTTCTCTTGTCTGCGTAGGTTTCCTCCGGGTACTCCGGTTTCCCCTACCACTAAAAACATGTACAATAGGTCATGCATGCGCCTCCTGTACTGGCGACCTCACTCCCATCTCTGTGTGGAGTGAGAGACAAATGCCCACAATTGTAAACCACTTTATGACACTGGTCTGTGAAAGGCGGTATATAATTATAAATAAACATTACTTGCTTACTTAATACGGCAGCTTAAAGATATGTAACTAAAATGGTTTTAACGATGGCAAGTGTTGGGTTTTACAATTAAGATTTTTCAATAGGCCTGAAGGAAAACCTGAATTGTGCTAAACAAATAAACTTTCCTTAGCTTGGAGATGCAGGCGTGATACCCACATACTGCACATAAATATCATGGATACTGCTGATAAAGCTGAACAAATATTGACTTTGCCCCATTGGATTGTGTAGTGCCAGCCATACATGTCATCTCCTGTTCTCCTTAAGTAAACACCATTTGTTATTTTTGTTTTAAACTGTCCAATACCAATTCACCTTACCTTTTTCTCTGATTAGGTACAACACACACCCCTGCACAGGAAATGAAAAACGTAGATAACTTGTCATCTAATTTACCTGACTGAAGTGATTTAAATTGGCGATAAATCTGTAATTTAAGTTGTTTATTACAAAAGGGGTCAACCAATTTTTTGGAGCCAACTCTTTTGCATTCTACTCAACCTATTGCCGATTCATAATAATAATAATAATTTGAATAATGTCAGAAATATAGAATCCACTGTCACTTATGCTGCTAACATGTACAGATGTATACAACTATACATGTCTTGCACTGCAGCCTCTTACTTGCTTCTTCATTATGATATACATTTAAAGTCTATCCTTTCTGATCAACCACAAACTTAAAGGCACATTAAGCAAATCATTTCTCTAAATAAAACTAAATCATTTATATGGGACTCTCCATGCAGCAAATACATTTCAAGCTTGACAATGAGTGGAAGCCATTAAATCGTATTTTAAAAAGAAAAAGAGGAAATCTTGGCCAATTACTGATGTCTTGCATTAAATTGGACAAATCCCTATTTACTACATTTCTCCAGTATTGTCAAAACAAAAAAATAGAATACAAATAAACTATTTCCATAAAGCATGTGTCTTACATGCTTTTATCAACATGGTTGTCTTTTCTAGTTCTAATTGTGAGCTAACAGGTTACAAAACAACTATTTAGCATTATTAAGTATTTTGCAGTATGTTATTTATAGACTTTAAATTGGCCTTTATCATGTTATTTATAAAGACATTGAATTAAAGGTGAGAAGTAACTGAACACAATCTCCTTAGAATCTACATCCTCAGCCAAAACACTGTCACCGCTATTGAATTAGTTGAGATTAATTTATTCTGGGCACAATGTGACCACAAATAGAGAACATTTGCATATGTTCAGTTGACACATGAGCTCATACATATCACAGAGAGAGCTGGAACACTGACAATGATCTGTGCTGGCACGGCCCTACACAGGTGCACCGGGACAGCAAACATACAGCCGCTCAAGTGTGGATTATGAATGAATGACTTTTTCCACCTGTGATCATTCATGTAACTCCGCTGGTAGGTGTTGGTGCCAACGGTTTTAAATGACTGGAGGAAATGAAAATCACTTACTAATACAATACTGGCTCCACTAACGCTCACCTGCGCCTCTTTCCCATGGCGGCAAATTTCGCCAGTGCTCCTGAAAAATATATGCAGAATTATATATTAGCCTCACCATATTTGTATTGTTTTTTTATTTAATTATTCATTTGAAAAGCACTCATTATCCTCAAAAGGCTCAAAAGGGGCTTATTAGCACCCTAACCCCCCAAACTCAATGCAATCAAACTTTTAATATCACAATAACATAGTAGAAAACACAAAAGCACACACACAAACTACATCCTGGATAATGTAGTGAATAGCTTAGTTTAATACAAACATAGACACACACTCTAGACTTTGCTCTCAGCT